ACAAAACAGGACCAGCCACGGAAGGGGTCAGAAGGACCGTCCAGTTATGTCCACGTGGCATGGATGTGGGACCCGGAGCCGGAGGGGAGGGATGCACAGGGATGGCACCCCAGCTCGGCAGCTGAGCCAGACCTGATGCCTGCTCCTGAGCCAGAGCACCGCAGGGCAACGGATCCATGCATGTGCACATGCGTGTAGACATGTACGATTCTGGTATCTTTACATGTCAAACGCAAATTAAATTTTTCTTAATGCAACAAGTCATGACTGTCAACAGTACCAGGAGGAAACAATCGAGCCACCGAGGCAGGCCGCTCTTTCCTTTCTGAACGTGTGTCACACAACTGCCCCGCCCTGTGTCGCTATTCCTGTCGACAAGTGGCACCGCCACACGTGTTCTGGTCAGAAGATCCTCTCGGGCGAGTGCTGAAATGGACAGAGACAAGGGGACCTGCCTTCCAGCTCTGAGGTACCAGGGCCATGGGATTTTAACTGCGAGGCCGCAGAGCAATGAAAAGTGCCCCAACCGCCAGGAGAAGAAAGAAGCTATGACAAGTCTACGAGCACATGAACACAACACTACGTGCTTCATTTACATTTACTTTACGGACGTGTTATTTATTCACAAACTTACATTTTATCTTGCTGCATATGGCATTTGGAGTGAATTCAGTTTTCCGAATGCATTTCTCCTATGGCGGGTGTGAAACAGTGTCAGAGTAGGTGATGGATTTGTAACAAGACAACCCCTTAATCAGCACCAAGGCCGCGGACAGCTCCCTGCCTGGGCTCCTCACAGAGGAACTAGTTACTTAACTCCTGGGCCCTTATCTGTAAATTAAGAGAATTACTCTTTTCTAATTCTACGGGGTGTTTTTTAAGTGGATGGCTCTGAAGCCCTGTCAGAGGAATTAAACTTGCTAACAAAGAGTCCTAGGCATACGGTAGGTGCCCAACGAATAATAATGGAACTGAAATGGCTATAATTAAGAAACCGAAATGGACTTCACCCTCCTGAATTCAATAAACCATTTCTAAAAGGCTGCATTGTTTTAACAAATGGTCTTTTCAAACACACCTATAATGAGAGATGTAGAGTGATAGGTAGAATGAGGGATGAGAAAGGTGCAGCAATTTCCAGATAAAGATTAAAATGTTCCCCGGGCGTGAAGAGACGGACGAGGGGAAAATGCAGGTCCCAGCCCCCCATTATTTAACATAACCAGCTCTGGGGCTCGCGGCTGGTGATGCCCATTAGTCGTCGTCAGCACAACTGTCCAGAGGACCCAGCGTGATGTACGCGAGGTCCCTCGAGTGATTGCACACCCGGTGGTCCCAACCCCCCTTTCTCTTTCGGCACAACATCCATCAGGTCAACAAAACTACTACAGAGCAGTTCTGTGCTTCCGTTTCCTGTCAATAAAGAGACAGACCCCTCCATTTCCCACAGCGGAGAAGCGGAAGAGATTTTATGTTGATTGTTTATGGATCAAAGCATTAAACTCTATTTTGTTATCGGTCCCTATTAAGCACAGCTTTTCTTTCCACCATGTGAAGCACAGGGATTTGAGGAACAGGGTCATTTGGGGAGAGATAAATTCCCTACCTGGGATCTAATCGCCATGAAAGTAGCCTGGCGCTCTGGCTTCAATATTTCCTAACAGGAGTCCCCTCAGGGGCCGAGGCCTCTGCCCTCGGGTCTCGAAGGGCAGCTGTAACTAATGGCCCCGCCATTAAGAAGGAGGGTTTCCCTCGGCTTCAGAGCGGAAGAATCATTCACCTTGAAACGAAGAATGAGGACAGTAATTTAAGCTCCTTATGCCGGCAGCTTTAAGAAGCTCTGTATTGTTCAGAAATGGGACCCGAATGAAGTTTTATGACAAGCCCTCTGTAAAGGTGCCTGTTTGCTGGATTGAAGAAAAGTCTCAAGAGGATGGCCAGGGAGAGAGGGGATGGCCAGGGAGCGAGGGGATGGCCAGGGAGCGAGGGGATGGCAGGGAACATGGGGATGGCCAAGGAGAGAGGGGATGGCCAGGGAGAGAGGGGATGGCCAGGGAGCGAGGGGATGGCCAGGGAGAGAGGGGATGGCCAGGGAGCGAGGGGAATGACACGGTTCTACTCCTAGATTCCAACCATCTGAGAGAAAAACCCAGAAAACAAAAGGTGCCCATGAACAGTGAGCTTCCAGCAAAGGAATCCACCACGAGTATTAAACTGCTGTCAAGACCACAGAGCTACTGTCTTCCATTAAATCTTCAAATCTTCCC